TGCAGTTCTGAATTTCCCCGTTAGTCTAGTACCTATGCTTGTGCAGGTCATTGAATCTTCAACCACTGCTGCAATTATGTCATTAAGGCAATTTTTAGCACCAGTGAAAGGAATTCTTCATATGGAGGGGGATCTACGAGGCAACCTCTTGAAACCAGAGTGTGATGTACAAATAAGGCTCCTGGATGGTGCTATTGGGGGTATAGATCTTGGTCGAGCAGAAGTAGTTGCTTCCTTGACCTCAGGAAGTCGTTTCCTGTTCAATGCCAAATTTGAACCTATTGTTCAAAATGGTCATGTTCATGTTCAAGAAAGCGTTCCAGTAACGTTTGTGAACAATGGTGTTTCAAAAGAAGAAGATACAACTACTAATGGTGGCAAATCAATCTGGAGCCCTGGTTGGGTTAAGAACAGAGGCAAAGAGTCTGGTGATGGTGATGCAGAAAAAAAAGCTTCAAGAGACAGAAATGAAGATGTTTGGGATATTCAGCTTGCTGAAAGTTTGAGGGGACTGAACTGGAACTTATTAGATGCTGGAGAAGTTAGAGTTGATGCTGATATAAAAGATGGGGGCATGATGTTATTGACTGCTTTGTCTCCCTATGCTGACTGGCTTCATGGAAATGCAGAAATCATGCTTCAGGTTTCTCTCGAATCTTTTCTCTTTCTGCACTTGATGTGATCAAAGATATACCAATGTGCAACCTATTAGTAATTTGCATCTCTAATGTATATGTTTCAATAACTAGGTGAGAGGTACTGTTGAACAACCAGAGCTTGATGGATCTGCAACTTTCCACAGGGCTTCCGTATCTTCACCAGTACTTCGCAAACCTATTACAAACTTAGGTGGTAGAGTTCTCGTAAAATCTAATAGATTATGCATAAACTCTTTGGAAAGTAGAGTAAGCAGACGAGGAAAGCTACTGCTCAAAGGGAACCTTCCCCTTACCGCAGCTGAAGCTTCCCCTGATGATAAAATTGACTTGAAATGTGAAGATCTGGAAGTCAGGGCAAAAAATATATTAAGGTAGGTACATGTTACCTCCTTAGTTGTCTTTAATTATCCAAGGTATATAGATAAAGATCACCTGGTTTAATAAACACTGTGTGCCTACTCAGCTTTTTTTTTTTTTTTGATTAGATACTCAGCTATTTAATACATTTCCTACAATGAAGAAAGTCTTTATTGACTTCCGCAATTACATAGACATTAGTCCCTCTCTACTTTTGGATTCTACTCGCATGGCTGACTTTTTGGTTCAACTTATAGTGGTCAGGTTGACACTCAGTTGCAAATAACTGGATCGATATTGCAACCTAGTATTTCCGGGAAGATAAAATTGAGTCATGGTGAAGCATATTTACCTCATGATAAGGGCAGTGGAGCTGCTCCATTCAATAGATTGCCATCTAATCAAACAAGGCTCCCAAAGGACACTTATAACCGGATGGTTGCTGCAAGATATGTTTCACGGTTTTTTGGCTCAGAACCTGCTACCTCAACCTCCAGTTTCTTACAAGAATTGCAACCCTCAGGTAGCTATTACCTTGATTAGATTTGTTGTTGTCACATTTTTGTTCTTGTTTTATTTTTCTCTTCAACCAAGACTACAGCCTGAAGATTAGCCAAACCTAGGCCTTGTGACTTGTCCTTGGCATAACTTTTTTTTTTTTTTTTTTTTTTTGAACATGTTATACTCATTTTCTCATTTACCTCAAGCATTGGCAGGAAAACAGACTGAAGTTGGGAAGCAAACTGAACAAGTAAATAGAAAACCACAAGTGGATCTACAATTGATCAACTTGAAGCTTGTTCTTGGACCTGAATTGAGAATAGTCTATCCACTGATACTGAATTTTGCTGTGAGTGGGGAGGTAGAACTGAATGGTGTTGCACATCCTAAGCTAATTAAACCTAAAGGAGTTCTTACATTTGAAAATGGTGATGTTAATCTTGTTGCAACACAGGTAAAGTTCAGTCCTTTTTTGATGTCCATCTGGCTACAGGCTGTTGTGTATGCTCATGTATTCATTTCAAATTTCAGGTCAGACTCAAAAGAGAGCATTTAAATGTTGCAAAATTTGAGCCTGATAATGGATTGGATCCGACATTGGACCTAGCTTTGGTTGGTTCAGAGTGGCAATTCAGGATTCAGGGTCTAGCTAGTAATTGGCACGAAAAATTGGTTGTAACCTCTACACGCTCTGTCGAGCAGGATGTTCTTTCTCCTACTGAGGTAAAGTATTGTACATTTAATTGGGTTTTTTTCAATGGATGTGATGATCTGTACATTTACATGTTTCTATCCAGTTGTAAACCTATTGAGTTGATGACGATGCATAAAATCTTATTCAATTGTCCACTTAAATTTATAATTGATGAAGGTTAAATTCTGGCTGTAGTGTACTGAATTGTGAATGTGCTTAAATCCTTGTAGCATGATTAGCTCTTGCTTCTTTTACTCCGACCACTGTCGAAGTAGTAGATCTTCGATAGATGTATTCTCTAGATGTTATTCTATGTATACTTAGTTCTGCGCATATTCTAGGAACACTTAAGTGCCTGTTTGGCCCGGCTTCTTGAAGAGTTTCTAAGTGGTAAAAGGAGAAACTTGGCCAAACGGTGTGATTTGCAAAAGTAATTTTAGCTTCTTGGTTTAGCTTCTCGGGGAGGAGTTTAGGCTATTAAATGAAATTTTTTTCAGACCAATATGCCCTTAAAAAAGTTAAAATGGCCATATATCCCCTCCTAAAATAAGGCCACTCTCTTTCGTTTATCTTCATCTCCATAGATTTGACCACAATTCCAAAAAAATATGCTCTGTATCTGCTAAAAACCCCGAAGATTTATTGTTCGATAGCCTAGTGGAGATTGTGGTGGCGAAATTGGTCACTTATAAGGAGACGATGGGAGGATTGATGTTTGGATCGGATGAAATTTTGGGTATTTTTAGGGTGGGTTTTTATGGGTCACTAGGTTGAACTTGGACAAGTGACAAACTAAGAACGACATTAAAGATCCATTACTCCATTAGTGGTGGGGCCGTGGTGGTGGGTGGTTTGATTAAAAAAAAAGTGAAATAATGGCATAAAGGGATTAAGGCTTCGATTGATTGATTGAATGGCATAAAGTTGCAGCACTTGCAGCTTTGCAGGGGAAAGGTGGAGAAATGTGAGAAAGAGAATGTGTATTTTTTCATTCAAGGGGCCAAACAATGTAAAATTGTTTCTATTTCTTAAAAAGCACTTCTAAACTTTTGTGGCCAAACAAGTATGTTTCTCACAAGTCTCTCTCTAGAAACAGTTTTTAAAAAAACTACTTCTAGGAATCAGAAACTGTTTTACAAAAGCTTGGCCAAACATACCCTAAATTGGATAACATTTTGCATGGATCTTCGAAATGATATCCTTTCTGGTTCTTATTGTGTCCTATACCTGCAATAGAAATATAGAATGCAGCCTGTTTATAGGCAAGGAGTTAATGTTGATGTTGTTTTGTTGATCCATTAGTGCTCCAGGTTCAGCCGTTCAGGTTATGATCCCAGAGCAATTTCTATGCAAGTCTTTGCAAGTTTTTTTTTGCTTCCTTTTCTTCCCTTTCAATAGCTTTGTCAGTAATACAGAGAACTATAAGAAGTTACCAATTTGGAATTTCTCAGTAAGCTTTTCTTGCTGCCTGTAAATAGTAGTTCTGGAAGAGAAATTTCTATGCAAGTCTTTATTACCAAATATTTCTTTTGGTGATGAATATCCTGCTTTGTAGAGGCTTGTGTTGTGAGGAAAACCCTTTCTTCCAACATTTTTCTTTCTTTTTTTAATGATGTGAATAATATGGAATAGGGATTACTTGTCATATTCAAAATCAAATAGGTATGTAGCACAAAAGCTGGCTCTTTTTTCTCAGAAATTAATGCTTATATCTCTTTTCCTGCAGGCTGCTAGAGTTTTTGAAAGTCAACTTGCAGAGTCGATATTGGAAGGTGATGGACAGCTTGCACTCAAGAAACTTGCGACTGCTACACTTGAGACTTTGATGCCAAGAATAGAGGGGATGGGTGAGATTGGGCATGCTAGATGGAGGCTTGTTTATGCTCCGCAAATCCCTACTCTGCTGTCTGTTGACCCCACTGTCGATCCTCTCAAGTCTCTGGCTAGCAATATATCATTTGGCACTGAAGTAGAAGTTCAGCTTGGCAAACGACTACAGGTTATTCTGGCATCCTTTATACTTTCTTTTGGGGCTGGGATAGACAGACAGACTGTATTTCTTGTTTTCCTCCTGCATGTGATGAAATCCTTTTCCTTTTCAGGCTTCTATTGTCAGACAAATGAAGGACTCAGAAATGGCAATGCAGTGGACATTAATATACCAGCTTACTAGCCGCTTAAGGGTGCTGCTACAATCTGCACCCTCCAAACGTCTTCTTTTCGAATATTCTACAACATCACAGGATTGACTTGCCTGCTTCCTCAGCTGCAGTTAGCTCACTTGTCTACTGGGAAGTACCTAATGAATCCAGTCAGAAATGCAAGATTGAAGGCAGGAATTCGGACTAGCTCATTGGTTAGGATTTGAATATGTACATAGAAAGCAATCATTTGTGTTCTCTAATATGAGATCTTTGCTCACAAGTGATGCATTGTATTTTTTTTTTTTTGGTGGGGTGGGGGGGGGGGGGGGGGGGGGCGGGGGGAAGGAATTTAAGAAACATGTAGATTAGGGTTAGAGAAGGCATGGATTCAAATGGGTTAGGACAAGTGCGTAGCATATTATTTGTATGTTACTAATTGGATTTTGTAAATATGAATATCATTCAATTGATTGGTTGTTACAAAGAAAATGCAGATCCTAAAGCCAAGAACTCTTTAGGGTCTACGTATCGGTGTGCCATTTATGGCTAGAATCTGAAAATTGACATGAAAAATACTACTAGTTGGTAAAATTAACTAATCGTACTAGATAAGAGCAAATGCATTGATCAGTTGACACACTATAGTAAGCCAATACTACCAAGACCAACTCATAGAATAAGTGTTGGTCGTGCTCATTGACTACGGAGAGAGTTGAGTTGAGATCTAAACCCGAACTCAGCTTTGAAGTATTATTCATACATTATGCCTCAAGACAATCAACCTGAAATCTAAAGTCTTTCTGTCGAGTAGGAACCTTGCTCTGAAATGCTATGAATAAAATGTACAAGTGCTTATTTGAAAATTCTTTCAATATAACAACAAAATCAGTTATCTCCAAGCTACATATAGCAACATATAAGCCCTACATTGTAATATTTCAGCTCTCTCTCAGAGAAGAGCCATGCAGACTCACTGGCTGCTGTGCATGAAAAAACATTTACATTGCTCTGAGAAGGGGACAAGAACAAGTGAACAACCGATGGTTGATGGAAAAAAGATCACCAAAACCTCCACGGATCCTTGTATGGAGGGCCATAATTTTCGGTTGGGGGGAGAAGCCGAAAGGAGCTGGCCGTTCTCTTCAAGATAGGTCCCATCTGCACCAAATAGAAAACAGCAGTCAAAAGATCAGATATAACCACAAGAACCACATGCCAATCTTTGGATGACTAACAATGCCTCCTCAATATCTAAGTGAGGAGGGTCAAATGCTGCAATGCCAAGATAAGAGAGCTTACAGTTTCCCACTGCTTGCTCAAAGTTGAAGCGTTCAGAGTGTATAAAAAACCTGCAAATATTGCACGAGTTAAATGAGTCTTTGGAAAAAAATGTTAGTGTATCAAAGACACACTTTTTAATATGTTAGTGTATCAAAGACACTTTTTAGATTAAAGCTTAATAGTCAAACATACTATTTTATACCTAGTATGCCAGAACTTAAATATTCATTTTTTTAAAGGTAAGACATCAGGAAACTTTCCTCACAAGAGGAAATCCTAATGCAACCAGAACTTAAATTAAGTAATGGGGATAGAATAGAAGAAAAAAAAAATCTTCAATAAAAAGTCTCTTAGTAAAATCATGTCATAATGTCATATCCTCTCTTTCTCAATACTTTTTCTTCGCTTTGCAGAAATAAAGCTTCAATTTTTATTTTTTTAAAATCTAGTTTTCTACTTTGTAATTATCCAAAGAGGGGAAAGCCTCTTGGAGACAGCAACCCTTGCAGAGACCTTGTGTTCAATATCTTAAGGTGTGTCATATAGATAAAAGAATATGTGTTATGGACTCACAGACGGGTCGACGGTTTCAGGTGCATACTCGGCGTCCAAGACAACAAACCATGGGGCAGCAACAAGACATGAGGCAACAACAACAGCAACAGCACACTGATCAGCAAGAAGACGCAGGCAACAGCAAATACTCAGGCAGCAGGGACACAAGGCAGTAAACAACAAACATGCAAGAAGGGGAGACTACTTTTGGGAAGAAACTATTTTTGAGCAAGGCAACAAAGTAAAGCAGATGTTTCACCGTTGAGGAAATAGGACTTTAGACTCTTGTTTCCTTACTTTTGTATTATCTATTTTTAGCATTTGAGGAAATCAAATTTGTAATATAATGAAAGGCTTGTGCCCTGTAGGATTCATTCAGAAATTGGAGTGTAAACACATTGGAGAGTTGTAGCCTCAAGCTACTTGTGAGATTGATAGCCTCAAGCTATTATTTTAATTATAATCCTATCATTCTCAGTTATAATTCTAGTTTGTATTAATTACAAATTAGTCAATCTGAATTCTTCGAGCTTGAACTATTAGTATTGTGTTGATTGAGAACCCACTATCGTGACGTTTCGGAAGGACTGGTTGGTAAGATTCCGGCCAACCATGGCTGGTCTCTACCAATATGCCAGAAACATACCATCATGCTCAGCTGTAGGAGCAACATATTGTCTATAATTGTTTGACTCCTGTGCCTACAGATAAAGGAAGTTGGATTAAATTTGCAAAACAGATGTAAAAGATCCCCAGGAAATCCAATTTGATTAAAAAAAAAAAAAAACATACAGATTTGGTTGGTGATTTGCGGACCAAGTATTCATAAAACAAGTATCTTTCGCCATCAACCTGAGAAGAAAAGGTACAACATAAACATCACTTCGGAATGAAAATGCGATTTTTATTTAAGTAATCGCTATAGATGTTAATTGTCAACTAAAACACCAAACAACCAAAATTCTGAGTACTTCATTTGATTGTGCATCAAGTATGGAGCTCTCAGCCAATTTTTGAGTTGATGTAACTCGCTGCAGAAAACCAATACCATATTAATTAAACCTGAAACGAATTTGAAATTAATGACGGATGCATCATTTCAACAACTGAGTCATATTTCAAGCAGCAAACTGACCTTCAATATATGGAATTTGAGAAGTACTATGGTGTATGCTTTTTAAATCAAACTTATTTTCATTACATACTCCATACTTCCATAACTCAGCAAGTTTAGAGCTGGGACTATGTGAAGGCAATTTAAATGGATTTGCAGTACATAGAAAAATGATTGTTATTAAGATGCTTGTGATTCCCTCAAATGAAAAGCTTCTCCATATTTCAGCATGCAGTGTATCTCTTTAATCTACTTAATTGATATTTGCTTACAAGCAATATTTGAATTCTTATTAATACCAATTATAACAGTGATCATGGCTTTGACATACAGGTGGTAGACTTGGTACTGACAATCATGATGAATGCATTAGCTACAGATCAATCTTCGAATCATAACAAGATTGCCACAATAATAAGTGCGGAGTTTTATAAACTCCAAACGAAGACTAGGAGTTCCCAAAACCTACATTATGTTTGGATAGCGAGAAATGGAGGAAAAGGAAGAGAAAAGGAGGGATGCATCATCCTTTGTTTGGATATCTAATGCAAGGAAGGAAGGGGAGGGAATTTCCATTTTCCTTCCCCTTTTAATATATCAAAGCCCTCCATTGTTGGAGAGATTTGGAAGGAAAATCGAAGTTCACCTTTTCTCTCCCCTCCCCTCCCCTCCCTTTTCCTTCCCTCTTTTTCCTTCTCCTTCCTTTTCCTTCACTATTGTTATCCAAACATAGTGTTAGTATGTAGTATAATTCCTCAAGAACAATCTATGACTTTAGGGATGGCATTTATGGCAACAAAGCAAAAATGTAAGACAACGCTGAACCAATCAATTTTCATTCTGTCAGGTGAAAAACAGCAGAGAAAATGACAAATTACCAAAGCAGATTTGTCAGACAATACTGAATCGGCAACGTCTTTCGGATTCCATGTACTCTTATCCTTGGATTTCAAGAACTCTGGATTGGAGGGGCCTATCTGAATCAATATACCAAGTCAGCTAATGTAACAAGATATCCCCAAAACAATTTAGCAGATACGTGTTTATGGTAATCACCGTAACAGATATGATGACATTGTCGATAAAGTCAACACGCTCGGACACTATACGCAGCCGCGCATTAGCTGCATCAATTCACATCAATGTCTGATCAGCTCAACTAAGATGAGGTACTATGGTTGATAAAATAGAAATTCATGACTACATGTCTACATTAATCATATTCAGGAATGAGTAAATGAACCAATCTTGCGCGCGTGCGTGGGGGGGGGGGGGGGGAACAAGGCGAAGTTTAACTTGCGGGCCAGAGGAGCAGCTGATGAATATCTTTCTGGCTTTCTGGATTCCACCCTTAAAATAGATGAAAAGAGTCAGGTCCCTACATTTGGGACAAAAAGAAGTGATTCGCAATAGAAGTAGTGCGTTAAATTTTTGAAAGCAAACTACAAGAATGAAATGTCATAGGAAGCATAAGATACAACTTCTCACTTTCAAATACGCAAACATATAAATTGATATATAAAAAAATCAGGAAAAGCTACTTTCTATTGCTGTACTCTTTTCAATACTAAGAGAACAGTTTTTTAGTAAAACATGTTGCTAAATCTGTTGGCATTTAGACTTAATTTACATAACTTCATGCTTGCAGCTTGAGAGGGGGAGCGGGGGATGCTTCAGAAAAATCAAAGTGAATGGTGGTTACAGTTATTTTAGCGCCACACAAAAATAAGCAAGAACAATAGCAGTTCCCTTCTAGAAGTAGAAGATAACAACATATGGTAAGCTGTCAATACCATCAATGTAAGACTTAAAGTGACTTGTTTGGGAGTGATACTAATTCAAGATAGGAGACATAAGGAGGATTAACTGATAAACAGCAGACCGAAAAAAAATAAGGGTGGAAGTAATTGAAAGAGGATGACAACCACCCAAATTATAAGGGACACATCTAACAAATAACCCATAAAGCTGAAGAAAACTCCAAACTGACTTAAAACTAGGTTGCCAACAACTATAATTGAATTCAAGATTGTGAAGCAAGTGCAAGAACTTTAGAAAAATAATTTCCATGAATAACAAGAAAGTAAGAGAAAGCTCATCGAGGAACTAAAAGTTGGTTTTTTCACTCTTGCCGTCCCAATATTATATGGTTCATTAAGATGTTCAACCACTAATTTCTCAAACATTATAAAGTGATTTACAATTTTACTAGATTTATCTCAGTAAGTACATTCATAGGTTTTTTTTTAACGGTTTAGTCATAGGTAGTAATCAACAACTTTTCGGTTTGAGTGAGTATACTTGACTATTATGAAGCTATGAACTGTAATACTCTGATCACTAATTGCAATCAAAGGGCCATGATATAATTAAACACTTACATGAGTGGATCAAGATTAAACGAAAACACAAGGATTAACTTCATAATAGTCCACACTCCACAGTCCCACGTATAACAAATTCTTCTCCCCCAATCCCAAGGAGCATCGCACTAAAGTTCAAGTTACACAATTGTAATCATAGGTTTAACAGTAGTATTAGAAAATAGAAAATATAACATTTAAAGGCAAGCTTTCTGGAGGGAAGTTTCATTGGATATGAGTAAGAATAGGCATTTAAATCATCAACAAATTCAAGCATTTTCATTTCCTCTACAGCATCAATTCCTGCAGCATTAGCTACTTAATTAGCGATATAATTCCAAACTCAATGACTATTTTTATTAATAAAAAAATTGGTTTTGATACATGTATCGCCACTCCATTACGGGGAAATTACAACAAAATCACACGTCCATTGGTGTTATTTTTGTCTTAATTTTCTACTCCATAGTAGTTAAATATTAGGATTCTACATATCATTTTCCAAAAAAATACTACAATATAAATAAACCCACATCAATAATAAGCAAAAATAGCATAAAAACACAAATTTAGAGTAAAATGAGCTCACCGTTAGTAGGGAAAATCAAGGCCATAGAAGAAGATAAGCCAAAGAGCAACAAATCCCTCTTGCAAAACACAAGTACTGAAGTGGGTATTGATGAATCGCAAGAACAAGAAATAATTTTACCTTTTGATTTGCATTTTTTCAGGAAAACAGAGGAATTTATCTGATTTCTGAACCCCAAATAACAATATTAATTACATAAAAAATAATATCCAAAATGGAATTAAAACAAAGTATTATTGCTAAAAGATAAAGAGAGAGAAAAAAGGAGTACCTGAAGAGTAAAAGATGAGAGGGTAATTGAGAGGGAGAATTAAAGATTGTTGGAGTGTAAGAATGAAAGACATACGCCATTGTTGAAGCTTCTTTCTCTCTCCTCTCCCGCGCTAAGGGAGGATAAACCGATAGAGTTTATTAATGGAATCAAATTATCTTTTTAAGAGTACTATTTTGTTTTCATTTTTTTTTTTTTTTTTTGACTTGTTTACCCTTTCGATAGAATGCTCTATGCACTGGTGCTAATGCACGAGATAATTATTCAAGCAAAACGATAATTTTCTTTAACGATGGATCAACTGATCGAGTAGATTTAAGTATTTAAGGCTCGAAGCGAGTTTAAAGGAGTAAATATATCATATACTTAGTACAATTTTTACTGAGTAGATCGGAATCTTTAAGGTTTGTCACAAATTTGATTATGAGGTTCTTTATATATTTATTTATCTATTGAATAATTATGAGGTTCTTTTTAATCTTGAATGAAAATATGGTTTTACAAAAATACTATTAACACTATGAATTTTTTGTATTAATTGATAAATTAAGTATATTATTTGTTCTTAATTCTAATTCAATATCTTTGAACCTTAGATACTTGATAATGTGCTCCTAATTTTTTAATCTTATAACCATTTTGATAAGGATGCACATCTTTGTGTTCAACACCAAAGTATGACAGAGAATTTAATTTGGTCTCCAGTTGTGCGTGGCTGCGGTTGATTATTGCTCGGATACGGGTTACAAAATCAGCACAAGAATTTTCATTTTCACAAAAGTATGAAGCGGCAACGGATCCATTCAAAAAGTTGTATGAGACAACGAATCGAGAATGCGCCGAATTGTTATATTTATGTATTTGGATTTTTAGCCCTTCCCCGATCAATTCTTGTTTAATTTTGTTAGATCTGTTTTCATTATTGTTATTGTCAATTGTAGATGTCGTATGACTTTTATTAATGATATATAATGTCCTCTAGGAATTCTTTCCAAAAAAAAAAAAAAAAAAAAAAAAAAAAAAAAAAAAAAACAAGTTGTATATTGTACTTTCGTATATTTTAAGAATGATTAATTTAGGGTTTTCTTAAGGAAATTTTGGGAAAAAGACCCTATTAATTAACTTATTTTTCAAAAAAGTAAACCAGGTTTCTGAAAAACTTTAACTACCACCTTCAAATTAAAAGAGTAGTTAAATTTTCCGTCTTATGGGCACTTGAGAATGAAGCTATCACAAATAAACTAGTTGTTTTCATTCTACGTTATACTATGGAAAATGAAGGCCTTTAATATTTCATTAATAACATATATATATATATATATATATATATATATATATATATATATATATATATATATATATATATATATATATATAGAGATTGGATCATGTGAAAACAAACCTAAAGCTGAAAACTGAAAACAGATGATCTAGACCATTGAATTTTCATCTGACGGATTAGATTACATTCGCGTTATTTGTAATCTTGACCGTCCATTCTCTCTGCTCTATTTTTATCTTTCTTCAATCTCACGATATCACTGGTTCTCTATCCTTCTCCCAAAAAATCATCAAATTTCAGAGGAATTTGCTTCAATCTTCATCAATAATTTGCTTCAATCTTCATCAATTTCGTCTTTAGCTTCAAAATTAAACCTGAAAAGTGAGTTTTGCGTTTCAACAATCAATTATGTGAGTTAATCATTTTCGTCGCTGAATATTCATCCCATTGAAGCGAGTTTTGAGCTTTCTCGATCCTCCATTGAAGCGAGTTTGAGCTTTCTTCTCCATTGAAGCGGCTTCTCAGGTAGTATTTCTTAAATTATCGACTATCAATTTCACAATCTAGGGTTTATTTCTAGTTAATTGCTCGAATGTTTTTGTTATGAAATATAAATTGTTGTTTGGATTCGAAATTTGTTGAATAGCATGCGAATTTTGTCGATTCAAGCATTTAATTGTTTTTAGATTTTATGTGTCATGTATTGTGAGTTTGTGACCCTTGAATTTATGTAAAATTGGGGGATTAGAGCAATCTTGAGCTCTTCATTGTGCCTTTTGCTTGGTCGGTTTGTTGTCAAGGATTCATGGGGGAATTCGAGTAGTTTAGCATCTGTTTCTTGTGATTGTACTGCCTTGCATTTTGATGCAGAGTAAAAATGAGAAATAGGGTTACATTTTTGGGAACTAGCAAGCTGAACTTGGTGAAATTGTATAATTTCTTGGATTATATTTTCTTTATGTTTAGTACTTTTAAGGCTTTATAAAGAGGCTTCCATTGCAAATATTAAACAGATTTCTACATGTGAAGGAGACAGAAAATTGAAGTATGGCGATCATCATGGTTTTCTCGTAATTACACTTATTGACACGCCAAGAGCTTATGCTGATCTCAAATCTGAGGAACTTGGTCAGGTGAGTAGACAACTACTAGTTTATTTTAAGTTTATATTGACTAAACCTGTGGTAATGAGGACGAAATGATTTGTCTCTCTGAGCTCAGGGTGAAGCTATAGCTCAAAACATAAGGTCTATGTTTGGACTGAGAGTTCCTGTCATCTCAATAGTCACCGGTGAAGGTGGTTTTGGGGGAGCTCTGGCCATCTGTTGCTGCAATAAATTGTTTATGCTTGAGAATCCTGCTTTCTATGTTGCTAGGTTTTCTTCGCATCTATTGTCTATTTTTGGTTTCTTATTATTATTCAAATTCCTTCATCATTTTCCAATACATGCTTACCTTATTATTTCCCTTTTGACATTCCTGAAGCATCTATTGTATATGAATTTTTCTCTTGCTAGATAGTTAATAAGCTTTCATGGGATACAGCCTTATTAATTTCAGAAGAATCTATCTTTTTCATGAAAAGGCTGCTGAAAACATGAGGATAACAGCCCAAGAACACCTTCGGCTAAAAATTGATGATGTTATCATTCCTGCAAGCTTTTCTAAATTCTCAAATTTCTGCCTGAAATCAACATGATTTGTTTGGACACTTGGAATGCGTTCATTTGGACTGCATGCTTATTCCACATAATTGGCAGGTGTGATACTTTTGTGTTCTTTGTGTGATATTCTTTCTGATTATTTGTCTCGAACACTCTTCTTTTTTCTTTTTGCTGTTATTCTGAAATGTTGATTTGAAGCAAATTTCTTGTAGAGACATACTTCGTATACCTTAAAAATATTTGGGTCTAAATTATGTGATTTTGCAGATTGGTGAGTGTGTTGCTAACTGGTGGAGGCCCAATTTTGAAACAGTGATGTATCCCTACTGCCCTCCTCACATCACAATGAGTTAATAGCTATGGAGTATATTGTTTTTGTGTGCCGGAAGCCTATTAGCTTAATTGGTCGAGCATTGTGCACTTGCATTGCACATGATGTGGGTTCGAATCCTACATAGGCTTACATGTAGTGATCTTTTTAAAATGTAGTAAAAATGAATATAATTAGCTTATTTTTATTTATAACGACTTTTATAATTACCTGAAGTTTATATATAGTTACCTTATTTTCGTATATAATGACCTTTTTGTAAATGTCATATAGTTACCTTATTTTTATATATAATGACCTCTGTGGAAGTGTCATCAAAATTGATATATATATATATATATATATATATTGACCTATGTGCAAGTGTTATCAAAATAGATATAGTTACCTTATTTCTATATATAGTGACCTTCGTTATTTTTATATATAGTGGCCTCTGTATAAATGTGGTCAAATAGATATAGTTACCTTATTTTTATATATAGTGACCTTCATTATTTTTATTTTTATATATAGTGGCCTTTGTATAAATGTGGTCAAAATTGATATAGTTACCTTATTTTTGTATATAGTGACCTTTATGTAAATGTGGTCAAAATTGATATAATTATCCTATTTTTGTATACAGTGACCTCTAAGGAAATATTTTAAAAATTGATATAGTTACCTTATTTCTATATATAGTGACCTCGATGTAAATGTCATCAATTTTTAATATAACTCGATATAATTACCTTATTTTTGTATATAGTGACCTTTGGGTTGTTTCACACCATCAGATTATCTAGTGAACATTCAATGGCTAAGATTGCTTGTTTTTAGTTTTCACCATAAGCACTGTTTTTAGCGGAACCTCCCCGTATATATATATATATATATATAAGACTTTAAATATTCCGGTAAAAGTATAATCTACTGAAATTTAAGGTATAATATCTGAATTGTTATTGGATTCAAAAAGACAAATCATTTCAAAAACAATGATAATTAAGCATTATTGCATTATTTTGAAATAATTGTTAGAAAATTTAAAGTTCATTTAGAAAAAAAATCTTATGTAAATCTAGAATATATAGTCTAGAAAACTCTAGCGAGATAATACCTAGAAAGTAAAATATTAGTTCTAGAATAATATAGATTTAAATGATATCAAGTTATTGTATGGTATAATGTAGAGTAATCTGGATTAAGCTCTATATATGTAGCTCTTATAAATATGTGGTAAAATCCTGATTTGTAGCAAGAGTTCCTCAGGTTATGTGTAATCATCTATCCAATGTTTAAGGAATAAATCTTAATATTTAGTAAAGTCAGATCCATCAAACTTTGCATGCGATCCCAAAATTTTTATCAATAATTTTAGAAAAATACAAAAGCCCATAATAATCAATTATATATAAACAAACAAAATTTTTATACAAAGGTTGCTTATTTTTCCTTTAATTCATATTTATTATTAGTTAGTAAATTAAGGGTTTTACACGTAATAATCCCATAAAAATTAAAAAGTAAATGTATCACAATACCCCTAAAATAATGAAAGAAATGTCATTTAAACCCCTTGATAAACAAGATATGCTTATATTATCTTGTAGATGATCTTATATTTCCTCAATATTTGCTACGGTATGTTACTATATTATTGAATTGTTTTAAAGGTGTAGATTGTCCTTGCATTATGCTAAATTTCATTCTAATTACTAAAATATAAATTGATAGAAAAATTAATTATAGAAATAAAATTAAACTCTACATAAGCCTAAAATCGGACGACTGAGATTGAATGATACAATAGATCCACAGGTCAAAGTTGAAAGACAATACTTTATCCACACCCACACGCTCACTTTGGAAGTATCTGGGCTGGGTATGCAAGAACGCTGCTGGGGTCAGGCATGAATGCGTTTGTGTCTGCCGCCTGGACCGTGGAATGGCCAACCGTCCAGGTGTCTAAAAAAGGTGAAACCAAGTCGTATCAGATGACTGAGAAAAGAGTCTGTCGGAGCCTGCGCTGGTGTCTGTCTGGACCGCGGTATGGCTAACCGACGTGGTCCAAAAGTCAAACGACCAAAAAAAGCCCCCGATCGTGGCGTGAGAGTCTCAATGTCAACTAAACAGGAAAAAACAAAAAAAATCAATTTTTTTTGATGAAATTGTTTTTTAAATCACTATTTCTATTGAAATAAACAAAATTAACACTACTACAATAAGCCTAATACAACGGAAGCTGCTTCTTATAGTACTCATAATATATCCTGATTGTGTTATAGCATTGTACTTGTTTCCTGTTAAGAATTGTTGTGGGGTTTAGTTGATTGGTGATATTTTAGATAATTTTTCATGTATATAATAGGTGCTCTACAATTTTGAGTACTACAATATTTATTAATTGATTTATTTTTATTAGTTTGGGCCTCAAAATTATTGAAAACTATTAAGAAATTACTTAACTCTGGTTTGCGGCTATTGAACTCAAACTTCTTGACCTATACTCACATGTGCCCTCACTAAAGGATGGAGATTCTTTAAAGTGGGGATGTTGCTCTTTTAGAAACTCTAGAGTACCCTGATTCATTCATTTTATCCTACAAAGTCTATGTTGTATTCTATTATTATATATTAGAATGAGTAGCTCAATCTCATTTATAATTTGTTGTTTTAAGCTCTTTTGATACCTTTTGAGGCATGATATATATGCTTAGTCATTATCAAAGCCCTGAATTTCCAATGATGTCTCTGTAAGTCCTCTTGAAACTTTAAAAGGGTATAAACTTTTAGTCTTTAACCAAATAAAAAACTGAGCTGGTTTATTTTGTGCTATTTATTTTATTTTATTTTTCTTATAATCTACAAGGACCTCCCCTCTTAGTTGACACTGGACATGAATTTCTTAAGGATTTGACTTAGCAATGTATGGTTTAGTGGATTTTAGTTCTTTCTTTTATTATTAAAGTAATCATTCTTTCTTGTGTTAATTTGGTATGCTTGACACTACACTTGCTAAAATTAAAGAAATACTTAAATATTTATTATCTAAAGAACTTCAATTCCCATTGTCCAATGGTTAGAAATAGCCATATCGAAAAACAATAGTGCGGCAATTTCACACGAGAATAAAAAACTTACTTTTTTAATCTAAAATGTCATTAACGTCTCTCTTTTACAATTTACTACTCTATATTTGTTATTTTTTTAAGAGACATTTTAAAATGACATCAATATGCGTTATAAAAATAACAAAATGACAATCGCTTAAAAATACTTATCCGAAACATGTGTTACTGTTTGAAATCTACAGTGTGATTCCGAAAATATCCCTCTGTTATTTTTTTCCTCTACCTTTCCTGAATTTCCTCACAGCCATTCATCTCTTTGACTTCATTTTCCATTTCCAAATTCCCACTTTACTTGTCTCTCTCCTCTATTTCATTCCATGATTTCACCTTCTTCTTAATCTCCCCTCAAATTCTTTACCAAACCTAATTCATTCAAACTAATTTCCTTTTCCAGCTATTTGTTTTCTCCCCCTAATGTTGGAAAAACTAATTCATCAAAATGGCAGTCTGCAAAACGAGCCGTAAATAAATCTCCCGTAGTTGGCTCTAAGTACTTAATTATCGATGGAGATTCAGATCATATCCAACATATATCGCTAGTCTTCTTTGAGGGCCCATTTTAGTGCGTCGTGGTGGAGCAATTGGAACATATACTGCACATCCAAATATTCTCAAATGGGAAACATTTGGTTCCTGACCAAAAACCAATTGTGATGGGGAGAACTTATGATGACTTGTCGACCTGATGCGAATTAGTGCTGTTGCATGTAATATAGCATGCCCCCAAGCAGAAATTGGGAGCTTATATTTCAGAAGTAATGGTCTAGCAATTAATTGTAAACGTTTAATTAACGATTCCGCAAGACCATTTTATGTGTGAACATGTGCTACAAGATGTTCAACACTAATCCCAATTGACATGCAACATTCATTAAAGGCCTGAGATGTGAATTCACCAGCGTTATCAAGACGAATAGTCTTAATAGGAAAGTCTGGAAAATGTGCTCGTAATCTGATCAACTGAGCAAGTAGTCTCGCAAACGCCAGGTTGCGAGTTGATAACAATGATACGTGTGACCATCTAGTTGATGCATATATTAAAACCATGAAATATCTAATTGGTCCACATGGGGGATGAAATGGTTCACATGGGGGATGAATTGGTCCACATATATCCCCTTGTATACGTTCTAGAAAAGTAATTCATTCGAAATTTATTTTAGCTGGTGATGGCCGGAGTATTAACTTGCCTATTGAGCAAGCAGCACATGAAAAATTATTATGAAGAATCCGCTGGCTCTTCAATGAGTGTCCACATGAATTTTCGATTATTTTTCGCATCATTATTGAACCGGGATGGCCTAAGCGGTCATGCCAAACTTGGAAGTCATCAATAAACTTCTGGTTTACTATAGCATGTGATTCAATTGTATTGATTTTTGTATTGCAAACCAGTGGAGAATGTAGGTAATTTCTCCATTATAAGTTTATTGCCTTGAGTTATACTCGTGATTTGAAGGAATTCATTATTTCCTTCATTAATTGTCTCAATATGTTATTCATTTTGTCGAATATCTTTAAAACTTAGTAACTTTCTTTGAGACTTAGGGGAGTATAATGCATCAGTAATTTCCAATTTTGTTCCCCTTGGCAATAAAACAATTTCTCTTCCGGAGCCTTCTATAATCTCTGTACTGCCTGATATAGTAAAAAATTAGTATAGATATAAAGGGGAGTTTTTTCTCGAGTTTGTAGAGAGCCACGTAGGATTAAATTTTCTTAACGCGCCTTGTAGGATTAGAAATGTTAGTTAAAACCAATTAAATAAGAGATTTGTAAATTCTTTTTAAATTAAATAATTCAAATGCCACATAAGCAAGTTTAGCGAATGAGATTTTAAAGTTTAAATTAATTAAATATAAATTATTATCTTTTGAGATTGAGAATTTTATCTAAATATATACAAAGAGAAGGAAATTCACAATTTATCTTAAAATAAAAATATTAATATATATTCTACGTACCACGACTAAAATTTGTTTTAAAAAATAAAAATAAACCGTGCATCGCACATGCTTCATCTAGTCAATAAATATTTAGAACGTATGGATATAATTTCTCAAGATAGTATTGTTAAATTGTCACCTTCAATAATCAACTTATCATGTTACAACTTTAGCTTTTTGGATATTCATTATTATAAGAATGGGGTATTCAATATATTCAGTCTAATTTCATCCAAAATCTATAAT